ATAGATAGATAGATAGATAGATAGATAGATAGATAGATAGATAGATAGATAGATAGATAGATAGACAGACAGATAGATAGGATGATGATGGCAGATGAGATTCTGCCGAAACGTTGCTACAAATTTCATTTATATTACCTATTTTTGCCAAGCTGGAGCCAATTACCACATTTTTCACAGAAATATCACTTTGAACAGTGAATTCGAATATAATGCAACCATTTTGTGGGATTCATCACCTAGGTTTAACCTTAGATAAGAATGTCTCTGGGCACTCAACAGTGGCAGGCTGCAAGGAAGAAAAGAGCAGGGAGATTTTGGGAAGGGAAAAAACATTGCTTTAAAAACATGTAAATAGATGTCTGTTAATATACTCTGTGGTGTTGCATCGGAGTGTCTCTCAGTATGAGCAAATATTATGTGATTGTATCTTGGACTAGAAATAGCGCCTTCCTCCATAAATATGGATAGTAAAGTAGTAAAGTTAATATAGTGTAAAGAAGGGTAAATAAGTATCTGTAGAAAAGCTGAATAAAATAAAAACAGACTATTCAGATTTGCATGAGGTAATAAACAAAGGGCCTATTTGAACAGGATGAGCAGGAGTACTTCCATCAGTATAAATGGGATATGAGGCAAGTCTAATATTCTCTTCCAATCTGCATATACTAATTTTTTCTTCCTAATTCAATGTCACTTGGATCAATGTGCAAAGTAACTTTACTCCAGCATTGTGCCAGACAACTTTCCTTCTCCCCAAGGTCTCCAATGCTGACACACTTCTTTATGCATTCGCTATTAGGATTAAAACAGTTAACACAAATTGTAACCAATTCACATTTTATTTAATTAAAATATTTCCAGGGTCTTCAAGATCAGGAGCGTGTAGCGGGCACAAATGCTTGAGCTGCAAATCTACAGGGAGAATAGATTTCTTCAGCAAATATTGCAATTCCATATACTGAAGAATGTTATCAAGCCACACTGGGGCTCCTGCAAGCTTAGGATGCAATAAACTTAGTTTGGCTGATGCACTGACATTGATCATCTCCTTAGAGATGATCCTTAGATGGGCAATCTGCAAATGTGCAAATCCTAGGCACTTCCTTTCTAGCTCCCCTCCCCCCCACAAGCAGCTGAATGATGGAATCATTTCCACTGGAAATAAATAAAAAAGAATGTAGTAAGGATTTAATAGACTTAATGTACTTTGAAACACACACACACATACTGAACAAAACAGGAAAGGGAAGGAAAATGATAAAACTGCTTCCAGCTATGTTTCCACTTTAAAACTTACGGTTCTCATTGGGCAAAACCAAGGGCAATTCTATTTTACAAAACTGTTGCCTACCTCTGTTGAAAATTCCGGTTCTTGCTTTTTAACCTAAGTTGGCTTGGATCAGTATTGTTCCCAAATGAATTCCCCAAACACCGTATATACTTGTATATAAACCCATCCACAAATAAGCCAACCCTCTTTTTTAAAAAAAACAAGAATTAAAAATATGCCAGCTGTGGATCAGCCAACTCTGGACATTTTCATATATTTTAATTCTCAGGGTTGGCTTATCCATGGGTAACTTACAGATTATCAATTTTTCATGGCATTTGGCGAAAAATTTGAAGACCACAGATGGAGTTATATGGGATACCGTATATGGGATATAGGGGTACTTTAAAAAGCATTGTTACCGTGCATCCTTGCTGATAAGCCCATCTGTGGATGCACCAAACCGAATTTTTGAGTGTATTTTGGCACCTAAATGGAGTATACATTCTCAGACCTATGGCCTTTTATTCCTCTTTGCCCTGTGATGTTCTAAAATGTTCTTTACCTCTAATTTTGAAGTTTTATAACTCAGGGCCACTTTTCACAAGTTCTGAAAAGAGGTTTATTAACAGCCTTTCAAGACTGCCTCAGCCCCAAAGGACACTGGATAACAAATCTACTAAAATTAAAATGGCATGAAGATTATCCTGGGAATCCTTGCACGCTTTCGCACTGTCACCCCCAACAAGTACTGAGGACTAGGCTTCAGGCTGAATAGACCCATAAGCATTTCAAGAGCTGCTGAGGTTGGGATCCCCTGCAGGAATTCCCCCAGGCCTGCAGTGCATGGTGTGGGCCTTTTAATAAATGTCCTTTCACAGGAGGAAAAAAATAAATAAATAGAAGCTATAGAGAACTGCCATCTGCTGGGATACTCACTCAGTGGACTTTTGAACCACTACTTTTTCCACTTTACTTAAATTTTATAGAGAAAAATGTATGTCCTGTTTTGTTAGAAAATAGACCTAAAATCATTGAGAGTACATTGATTGGAATGGATTTTAGATGCACCCTCGGATACTGTCAAGGTTTATAAGAGTGATGGCTAACCTTTTCGGCCCAAAGCATGTGCACCCCCAAAATGCAATATACACGTGTCCCCCCCGTGGATGTGCCACAGAGAGCCGAAGATCAGGAGGCTGGCAGGAGGCACACATTCACGGCAGAGTTGAGCTGGGGCAATGGCTCGCATGCCCACATGTGCCATAGGTTCACCATCATGGGTTTATAACATGAACTGCTAATAACTTCTGAACATGGATGTCATCTCGTAAAGCATTGCTGGCCTGCTCCCGAGTTGCCACACACACAATAGTGGTGGTATGTTACTGGTTCGGCCCAGTTTGGCTAAACAGGTGGTAAAAAAGCCTCCGACAATCAGCTGAGAGGAGGAAAAAAAGCCTGACCATCAGCTAAGAGGAAAAAGAAGAGAGAAGCGCAGAATCGCCCCTCCCATCCTCCCCTGCACTTTTCTCTTCTTTATCCTCTCTGCTGATTGGCGCTGCAGGCCTCAGCTGGTGTGGAGAAAGCTGCGCACGCGATCACCGAACCAGTAGTGGAACAGGTAGGATCCCACTGCTGTCATACACACATGTGTGTACACACAGACAGACACACACCTGAGAATTCAGAGCTATAAATATATGTTGACAAATTGTCTTCAAAAACCATCTAATTTTTAAGCTTCAAGTCACAGTAACCAAATTTTCAATTTTGTATTTTTGAATTTACAAGACTGGATACTTCCTGCAAAATGAATCCTTCATATAAAAGAAATCCACTTATTATTCTAACTAGTGGTTCAGTTGTAATGTGAATCAACATTGTTCACATATCAGCTCTTTTCTTTATATAGTACCAACTTTAAGAGTTACATTTTTAAACTTTGCTAATGTATTCCAAACTTCTCTGTGATGTATGACATGCTCCTAAAGTAAATTTGTTCCCATAATGATAAAGTAATTGTGAAATGAAATAATGAAGAAAACCTTGAGGCGGAAAAAAGGGTTTTTATAAAAATTATATAATTTGAATAATAAGAATCAGAGATGTAAATATAGAATAGTCCCAACGTCTTCTTAATAACCAGGATAATCAGATATTACAATAACTGACTACATATATGCCTTTTATTATGGTAATGGTATAATCCAGGGGTCTCCAACCTTGGCAACTTTAAGACTTGTGGACTTCAACTCCCAGAATTCCTCAGCCAGCTGGTGAGGAATTCTGGGAGGTGAAGTCCACAAGTCTTAAAATTGCCAAGGTTGGAGACCTCTGGATAATCCACTAATCTGAAAAACAAAGGTGCATCATGGCTCAAGTCAGACGGAATATTGTGATCTGCTCTTAAAAGTAAAATGTCTCCAATATTAGCATAACAAACTAGCAGTCTGAACACAGACTATGCACATTTTTCTATGACCCAATACAAATGTGGACCAAATTTGCAAAAATGTGGAGCTTTTGTGTACATTTTTTTTGAAATTGCTAACACTAAAATACTGAGTGAAAACTCATAAAGTACCTTACTGCAGATCCACATATATGCTTTAACGTGTTATACTCCACAACCTATTAATTCCATATTAACTCTTGAGAAAAGTTATGATATAGATTAAATAGACTGAAGACTGTACCTTCTTCCTGATTTCACTAACTCACAGGTGAAAATAATTGACCATTTATTTAGATTCAGTCCAGGTGAAGGGAACAATGAGACTTAAGTGTGTGGATTTGAACTCTGTGATTTCAGAGTGCTAAATTGAAAGTGAATGTATTTGAGCGATAAGCAACCAATTACTATATCTTTCTATGTGTTCCTGTTTATTCTTCACTAGGTCAATTGTCCTTAACGTTTTATCAGTGATAATCAGGGTAGGACATAGAATCCACAGAAATAACTTCAGATATTTATGTGGGACTAATTAAATCCTGGTTTATGTCAACTGAGGACAGAATGATCTGACTAACTTCATGCTAACATCCTGAATGTGTCCTCGGGGTACTAAATAAAATTGAGCAGAATCTTCTGCTTTCATTTTGTTTGATTTTGTAACAGCTTTATTTAGCTTCACCCATTTCTGAGCCCAGCAGCCATTAAAATATTGCAGCACATTAAGTTAGTATGCATATCTTTTATAGAAAGTTCCTTATCCGAAATCAATAAGAAAAAAGTGACACAGATTTTAGTCAAACCTAGATGTCACCATCACAACGTATAAAATCCAACAGGTATGAAGGGACTGAAACTAAAGCAAATATTAGATTTGATACAGCAGCAAATACAGTAGCTCGACAAAGCAAAAACAAATGTCCCTGTAAATGAAGCCCAGTTTTCAAACAGTCAAGGGAAGAAACTTTAAAACTATCATAGTTTTGAAAATATCACTTATAGTGGGAAATTAAAATAAATAGTTGATAAAAATTAATTGTCCCTGATCAAAGAGATCTTTTCAAGTGTAAAGAAGGGCATGCCTCCATTGAAGTTAAAAAAGATTTCTTTCAAAAGTATGAACAGTGTACAAGACCAAAATCGTAAAGGTAAAGGTTGCCCTAATTCTTCCCCCAAATTTTGTAACATATTGCTGTACAGTCTTTTATAGATTTTTCTTTCAATATATAGTGGCAAAAGGCCTTGACAGAAGGTACAAGAATATAAATAACCACGTCATTCACACTGCTTCCCCAAACCTTCCCCACAATTCTTCTTCCCCAAGGCTGGGATTAATTTGGATACAGCTTTGGCAAACATAAAAATCTCCTTTAATGAAGTTCCTCAAACAAAACAGTTAGCAAAATATTTGAATATTTGTGGATAATATCACATTTAAGGTAAACATCAAATCATGTACCAAAATCTTTTGATGGAAAAAAGAAGGAAAATTCTTAAAGTGGCACAATTGTCATACCACTGGAAAAATCAGAAGGGAAGAAACTAAATTACAAACATTTAACGTGCATGGTTGGGAGGGGGATTCAATTATTTTTCCTAAATTCACTCAATTTGATTTTTTAAAAATAGTTATTCAACTACCAAGCACCCAATATAGCAATTTTTGTCATTTCATGATTTCTGTTTAAAAACCTATTAAATTAATCCCTCCAACAAGCTGAATGAATAGCTTGTCAAAAAAAACAAAAACATGAATTTTTCATCTTTAGGTTGACCACTAATTTATGCTTAATTGCAAAAGAGTAGTATCTGGGTCTGCAGCAAAGGCCTTTACTTCATCCTAAAAAGGAAATTACTATAACCACATCATATAGATTCTAAAACTATAAAAGTCTTAGAATGCAGCATCCCTTCACAGAAATCTGATAAAACTGAATGTAAATATAAGATGCTGCATATTTATTTAAAAAAAAAATAAACAATTTAAGCAGACATAACATACATTTGTACATTAACTGGCCATTTCTGGTACAGAAACCCAGCACAGTATGCTAAATGTTATTGAATAAATGTAAAATGCTACTTACATTTTTAAATACAATTTAGACAACTTTTTTTTAAATGTTTATATATTTTTTTTAAAGTTGCACAGTTAACTTTTCAGCTGCTAGCTTTAATGCAACACATAGATAAAGTTACATAATTTTTAAACGTTTTTTTTTTCTAGGGATTTTTTTTCTCAAACTTCTGACCCACATCAAAAAAGAAAGTAAAATAGTGGAATATAATTTAAAAAGAATTAGCTTCAAGTCTAGCAGCAAAGCCATTAAACCAAAATATATTTACTAATATAAACAGAGAGAAACGATGGTGCCTGCAGGTGCAGCTCCAGCTATCTTAAATCTACTCACAGAAATAAAAATTAAAATGTCTCTACAAAAATAGTCTGATTATTTAAAATAGGAGTAGAAGCCATTGCTACCTGATGAACTACCTAGGCTAAGTTCCTGAAACAGAGACAAGGGGTCACTATTCTTTTTTGCCTGCTCAGGAGGGGGTCTGGGCTTGGGAGGAGCCCTCAGAGCACTTGCGTAGGACATGGCAGGTTTGTTCAACCCAGCACTGGGCTGGCTGTTGCTGTTGGATTCCACAATCTGCTTGTTGGGCATGAGGGGTGGGAACTGGCCCAGATGCTGGAGTACATTGTAGTTAAAAGAACTGGACAACGGGATGTTTTCAACCTTCATCTGCTCCTCAGGGGATTTGATAGCCTTCGGAGGAACTAGAAAGAAAAGAACATGAACATCATCACCATCCCCACAACCACCATCACTATTTTAACTTAATAAGGATCACAAACAGATTGGAAAGCTACTTCTCAGTTTCCTTTCCCAAAGATATGCAAAGAGCATTAATTAGAAGCTAAACAGAATCTGCAGGAATTTGTCAAATGCTTCCAGTCCCGTAAGACATTTTAATTTGAAAGGATTCGGGCGATCTTTACAAAACCTGTTGAAATTGTTCTTCAGTCGGTTTTATAAAGCTAGCCAAAATAGTTTGAGAATACATTGCCCTTTAAGGCCAAGACTGAATACACATCATTGGTGTACTTTAACCCTGCACAATCAGATCGAGTAAATGAGCAAACAAGGATACACAGCATACCCACCTTGAGATTTTGTGACTTCAACTCCCAGAATTCCTGAGTCAGCATCATGATTAAAGGGGCCACAGATGCCCACCCCTGGTTTAAAGGGACAAGACAGCGACACTCACTCACCTAACTGTTCTCTTGGTGGGATTGCTCTATTGGATCCATTGCATGGAATGTTCTGATAGGGGGCTGATGAAGAAGAGTTGACCCACCATTCGGGGGGAGAATAATTGAAAGAGGATGGGTTACTCTGGTCCTGAAGCTCTTGACACTGTCCAACATTATCTGGAGGAGTATTTAAACCTTCAGAACAAGCCTGGGTTGAACTAGATGACATTCTTCTTTGGTACAATGGCCTGCCAGGTCCTCTTGGTTCATACTGCATAAAAGAAGACAATCACTTGCAGACATGTTTCTATTAAATGTCCCAGCTGAGTATCAATATGCATATTCTGAAATTGCCCTCAAAATAAACATGCATATTTTACTTGGTGTGATTTTATTCACTAACACAAAGACATCCTATTCTTCACATTCACCATCCTGTTATGAGAACAGGGATATAAACAAACACTGCACTCAAAACTCTCTCATTCTTATATATATGTGTAACAGGATTATATCACTTTTTAAAGTAATTTCCGATCCAGCCTTCTTTCAGAACAGTTAATTGTATTACATGGGACTACTGACTTTTTTTTATAAGTCCCTTTTGATTCCTAATTTTTCACTTTGAACTTGTAGTTATTGTAATATTGATTATTATATCTAAGCTTGTCTTCTACAGAATTTCTTCTGCATGGCAATTATATGAAGTATTGGCCAGTTGTAATTTGTCCTTCTCTGATACAACTGATTCATTATATTGGTTTAATTCATCCCCAGGAAATAATTGTTAGGTTGTCCATAATACAGGCTGTATAAACCTGTTTTGTGATATTTGTTATGTTTACACCAAGCCTTTCTCTTCTTTTCTTTTTGAACTATTGCTCTGTTATACCAGAGATAAAGCAAACAGGATAAAGAAAAGAAAGGAAAGGAGAAGCAAGTTTGAGGAGAATTTATTTGGATTCAGAAACTGCAGATGTAATCTAAAGTCACAAAAAGCTCTCTGGTGTGCTTAGAACCATGATATCATATGCAAATGTTATTTTTAACTTTAGGTGCTTGTAGATTACCCTGAATATTTTAATGGTTTACAGGTCAATGCTTAATGAATACAACCAGGGATTAAGAAACACCATCATTATGCAAGCTTTACTTAAAAGAGCAACTACTCATAATTCATTATTTTAAGATTACTGCAAAGAAACTGCAAAGAAATTGAATACAATATAACACAAAAACCCAGATCTATATTACTTGTTAAAGAAGCAGCTCAATTGATGCTATTTTTTTTCTTTACAGATGAGGTAAGAAATGAGAACACATAGATGTTTATTACTATTTAGAAAGACAAATAAGTACGGTTCTTCATTTTATTAATCATTTTTTCAAAATACTGGTGGATATCTCATTGGCAAAATATACTACTAACAGAATGGTGCTGGTATAGATGGAACCACCAACAAACAAGAGACTGATTTGAATAAATAGGCATTTTGGTACTTTATAGTGAATTAGAATTT